CTCTTTCACAGAGTTGTTTACAACACTTCAAATTTAAAAAATAAAAGTCATGTTAACCATTTTTATATTGGTACTTTCAATTTTAGACTGCATAGTTTTCTGTTTTAACTCTCTGTTCTTTTTCCATTTCTTTTTCAAGTCTAGCACTTGAAAGGTCCACAAAACAAAAAAAAGGGTTCTGTAGAAATGAAATACAGACACATGCTACAACTCCCGCTTTGGCCTCTAGAGTGCTAGTGTTACAAGTATGAGCCATTGCACCCAGCCTGAATTATGTACTTTAAATGAAGGAATTATACAGTATGTAAATATGTATTCCTACAGAACCTTTCAAAAATGTATTATGTAAAAACTTCCAGTTCTTCTTCAGGGTGGTACAGTTGGTGCATAATTAACCAATTAATCGCTTATTAATATTTTAACAAAATTCCATTGAAATATATAGTCTGAAAAGGAAAATTCAGACACCTAAAATTACTTATTCCAACTGAACTATCGAATGTGAGATGTGAATCATTTCATATACCATTTCTCTGAAAAAATATCTTATCATTTTGTGGTTTTTCACTTATTTTTTTCTTCACTAATGCTACTTCCTAGATGTAACCATTATGGGACATTGGGATGACAACAATAACAAGAAAAACCCCCAAACCATTTACCCTAGTCAATTAACTTTTACAACTTTTTAACTTGGCTGGGGGCAGAGGATCCCTTGAGCTCAGGAATTCAAGACCAGCCTGAGCAAGAGAGGTTTACTAAAAATAGAAAAAATTAGCTGGCTATTGTGGTAGAAGCCTATAGTCCCAGCTACTAGGGAGGCCGAGGCAGGAGGATTCTTTGAACCCAGGAGTTTGAGGTTGCTGTGAACTAGGCTGACTCCATGGCACTCTAGTCTAGATGACACAGTGAGATTCCGTCTCAAACGAACAATAAACTTTTCAAGTTTGTTGTTCTTTTCATTTTTCTTTTACCTTTTTTTGAGATAGAGTCTATGTTGCCCTTGACAGAGTGTCATCACAGGTCA